GCCTTTTCTTTCTCCGAAGCGTTCTCGAGCCGTTCCAGTTCTTTATTGAGAGATTGGATTTCTTTCTCACACCGGGTGTACTTACATTCCAGATCCTTTATATATTTCTCATTCGATTTGTTGATGGCTACCTCTGATTGCAATATCTCCTGGAGTTCTTGGTTAATTTGTTCTAGCTCGAGTTCTTTATCCGTAGCTGATCTATGAGTTGATCGATTAGGGGGTCGGGATCTATGGAATGCCATGGTTATTTTTTACGGCATATTATATCTTTCATAGAAAGGAGACTTTGTCTCTTGACTTATCTCTGACTTTGCTAAACATAATTTTTAGTATAATGAATAATATCGAAAATGAGTAAATTGAGCAAACCTATTATTAGAATCAATCCAGATGAGGAATTAAACTTAATATGTAAATTGCTTTTTTACCAATGTACTGGTTATCATTCCAATCCTCGAAAGTTATATAATGCTATCAGAGATAAAGGATATAATTTCCCGTATAAAAAAGTTCGTGAATGGTTGCATAATCAGAATGAATGGCAAAAATACGCTCCATCACCAAAAGATACTCCACGAGTTAGTTATGGTAAAATTCAAAAACCAAATTGTGTACATCAGTGCGACCTCCTATTTCTTACGCATGATCATTATAAAAGTAAAAAATGGGTAGCGGTGCTTAATATAATAGACGTGTCTAGCAGGTACAAAGAGAGCGTTCCTCTCACATCAAAGAAAAGTTCGGAGGTTGCAAAAGCATTCAGGAAAATTTATGATGATCCCAATAACCCTCTTACATACCCGACACTTCTACAATGTGACGGTGGTAAAGAATTCATTGGTGAAACTGCTCGATTAATGGAAACGCATAATGTCACAATTCGAGTAATTGGTGCTTATAGTCATCGTGGATTAGCTCTTGTAGAACGATTCAATAAGACGTTAGCAGAGATGCTTTATAAAATCCAGTATGCCGTCGAATCGATATCTAAAAATCCTAAATTAATAAGAGAGTGGGTCAAGTATTTGCCAGAAGTAATAGATTATCTTAATAATTATCCGACACGTCTCATTCGAGCTCCAGGTTCATCAAAATGGGGTTTAGCTCCAGCAAAAGCTATTAAACTGGAACGAGTAGAATCTAGGCCATCTACAAAGTATAAGCGCCCTGTTGGGAAAAATGAGGAGAATAAGTTAAAGAAGGGTGATACAGTTCGTTACCTGCTTGCTAATGCGGAGTGGGAAGGAGGTATGGAAAACCAGAAAAGAGCCACGGATCCCACATTCAGTCCAAGCATTCATAAAATTTGAAAAATTGTAGTAACGAAAAATGAACCAGTTTTATATTATCTCGGAGATGATGACGATGAATATGCTCCAAAGCGTGGATTTGTGAGAGAGGAACTCTTATATGTGAATATCGATACGCTTCAGTATCCACCCCAGAGTATATTGGAAGAAAACACTCGTTCCAGATCTATTAATTTCGTTCGTATTACTAATAAAATGTCTAAAGCCATTGCATATGCTGAGAGGCGTGGCGGAGAATGTCTTGGTAAAACTGGCCAAATAAATGGTTTCGATGTATATCTTTGGTCATGTGAAAATGGACTCCATCAATGGGAAGCACCTTATAAAATCCAGAAGAATAAATTCGAATGGTGTCCAGTTTGTTTCCGCCATACTGATGAGCGTCGTTGTAGATATATTTTTGAGGATCTGTTAGGTAAGAAATTTCCATCTTGTAAACCGTCATTTTTGAATGGGATGCAATTAGATGGATATAACGAAGAACTAAAATTAGCATTCGAATTCCAGGGTGTCCAACACTATCATCGCAATAGTTTATATCACAAAAATCAAGATGATCTAGATAATCAAAGAAAGCGCGATCAAAAAAAGCAGGATATATGTGCTCGAGAAGGTATAGATCTTATTTGTATCCCGTTCGATTGTGATTTATTTCCCTATATAAAAAGTAAATTACAAGAGAGAGGTTATTTGTCGTATAAAGAATAAATATTACTTATCTTGGTTATAATGAAAGATAAAGGTATGCCCATATATGTATATAATATCAATGAGACATCTAAAAAATCATCAGAACGAATGAAGGGTAATAAGTATTCACCAGACTGCCCATTTAGGATGCTTATAAATGGAAGCTCAAATAGCGGAAAAACTAACATGGATATAAATCTCATGCTTGGTAACAAACTACAATGCATGTTCAATGGAAAAAAAGGTGAACGGTATATTAGAAATGATGATCTCAGATTAGTAGCCAAGCATTTTGAACCAAAATGGCAACTTGTACAAAATAGCTATCAGATCTTTGCAAATGCTCCAAAACCATATCGAGAAAATGTCACATTTAAATGGATATTACCAGATAAGATCCCAGATATAACTAAATTCTCTCCGGAACGAAGTACAGTTATTGTTTTTGAGGATCTATGTGCTGAACCCAAAAAAGTGCAAGAACGAATTATTCCTTATTTCATTAGTGGCCGGCATCAAAACGTCTCACCTATATATGTAAGCCAGAAATATACACAAACACCTAAAATTATTCGTGAAAATATCTCACATTTATGCCTATTCCGGGGCAGTGGAAGTCGAGAAGACATATGCAGAATCGTGCGCCAATATACAGATGATCCAAAAAAAGCATCCAAGATTATTGATAAGCATTTGCGGGATCGAAAATTCGTGGTTTTTGATTTTACTAAGGCTGTAGACGATCCTCTAGCAGTTAGATTGGGGTGGGACACTCCCCTTGATCTTTCTAATGAGTAGAGCGAGATTTCAGATATTTAAGGAATTTTTCTCCCTCTTGCAATTCTATCTTCTTTTCTTTAACCTCACATCGTAACTTCTTATTTTCATTAACCCACTTTTCATGCTCTATAGTAATTTCTCGCATAAATCGTTGTAATATGGGTCAGAGACCCTATGCTCCGCATATACATAATTAGCACTTGAGTATCGGAAGTATAATTTATTTTTTTTTTTCCTGATATTTTAGTCTATATAATATATCATACATCCTATCTGCCACTCATATTTTTGAGATGATCGAATCCTGCCGTATTTGAAGTTAGAGTGGATGTGTAAAAATATATTAGGTATCGATACATTATTGCGAAGCAATGATCCTTTGGATCTATCTACACTAGGGGATTTTTGTGTTGTATGAAATGAGTTTGTATGCAAAAATATATAGATTTAAATGTGGTTGAGTCGTGCTAGAGTTGAGCTAGAGTCGCGCTAGATTTTTTCTATATAATTATATGTAAAATATCATACTAGTGCTAGAGTCAAGCTAGAATCATGCTAAAAATATATTAAATCATTATATTAAAATATAGTAATCATTTCTAATCACTGCCAATTCGAATTTTAGGATTAATTGGAAAAAAGTAATATTCATTTGATTCGTGGTCTTTGACCTTTCGCGATCTACCTTTTTCGAGTATACATTAGCAGAGCTAGCAAGGTTAATATCTTTACAAAAATCTGAAGAGATCCATAAATATTTTTGACACTAATAGTAATAGTAATATATTAATATGGGAATATACATTAAATAATGATTTTAAGAATCTAAACCATGTGCGGTTAATCCAATTTTAGGGTTCCCTGCATATAGTCGCACAAGACATCAACTGACCATATTTGCACGATGTAGATGTTCTATGAACTTAGCCAAATTAGTTTGATGACATGAAACCTAGATGTTGCAAAATTTAATAACAATATTTTCGGTTTACATGGGAATCTGGTACAAAAAAAAGATACCAGCCCTCAAGGGGTATCGAAATAAAGTCTAAAGTACTAGCCCTCAAGGAATACCTTAGGTGATTTTATTTTAAAATATATATGAATAAGTTATACATTAATAAATAGATTAAATCGAATAAATGATATGTTATAATAAATTAAGCTATACATTGTTAATTTGTCGCATTTCTTCACGAACCGCCCATAATAACTGATAATGTAATGCTAATTCGGTAGCACACATACCTTCGGGTCTGAAGAAAATTTCTAACCATTTTCTCTGTATAATTCTACATGCTCGAATTTTTCTACCGATTTCTCTTGCACGCTTAACCTTCTTGATAGCATTGGACATCCATAATTCATATCGATGCAATGCATACTCATTATCGAAATTATATTCTGAAATAGATTTTTGCTTGATTTTCAAGTACTCATCATAACTTACTCCACAATAAGAATTTCCTGTACAATGAGAAGCCCAATGCCTTTCCATTCCTATGTGGTTATAATTTCCAATATTTTTAGTTCGTTTACCGGTATATACTAATTGATTACAAGAGAAACATATAGCAATACCAATTTCAGGTGCATAGCTTTTATAAAATCCATTAACCTCAGACCAATATGTTATTAATTTTCTGGCTTCAAGATATTTTTTACTATTATAAGGTAAGAGATCATTTTCTCTAAAATATGTAAGACGTTCCCAAATCCGTTCCATCCAATCAGTAGGAGTCTCATTCAATGAAACAATACTCATCTCCAAATATTCAACCCATTCAGTATCGGTACAATTGATTCCACGTCTTTCACTTAAGCTAGCCATCTATCTTATATAACCTATTTGTAGTATTTATAGAAGTTATATGTGATTTATATCGTATTTAGGGATTTAGACCTATTTGATTTAATAACTATATACTCTAGATATCTGAATTCATTTTTTGTGTAGAATTTGAACAGAAATTTATTTATATAAAACTTTGCTAATCTCAATGCGATTAAAAATAACCTTAAATGATGCTTGTAATATTGCCAGAGCTCGTAATGGTTTGTGTCTTTCAGATACATATATTAATATTTCCACACCATTGAGATGGAAATGTTCTAAAGATCATGAATGGGATGCTCCACTTGATAGAATAAAATATAGGAATACTTGGTGCCCTGTTTGTGCAGGTCGGCATTCTTTTCATCTTGAAATTGCTAGAAAGATTGCTATAGATAGAGGTGGATTATGTCTTTCTATCCAATGTACAGCTACCAAGGAATTATTACAGTGGAGATGTTCCAAAGGTCATGAATGGTCAGCAACCTACAATAATATTATACACAATAAAAATTGGTGCATAAAATGTTCGCATAGAAAGCCTTGTACTCTTGAAGATGCTATAAAAGTCGCACATACTAGAAATGGAAAATGTCTTTCTGAAAAATTTATTAATGGTAAGTCACTATTATTATGGCGCTGTGCTGTAAGTCATGAATGGAATGCTAGTCTTGAGAGTGTAAAAAATAAAAACACATGGTGTCCACATTGTGTAGGAGGTAGACCCCGATATACTCTTGAAGATGCTAGAAAAATTGCGCATGATAGAAATGGGAAATGTCTTTCTGAAAAATATATTAATAGCATGACAGCTTTATTGTGGCGTTGTTCTAAAGGGTATGAATGGAATGCAACATTTAATAGTATTAAAAATGCAAATTCATGGTGTCCCCATTGTTCTGGACGATACGCCTGTGATATTGATCAAGCCAAGCAAATTGCATTTAGTCGGAATGGTGAGTGTCTCTCTACCTCATATTTTAATAACTATTCAAATCTATTATGGAAATGTGTTAAAGGACATATATGGCATGCAACACTTAATTCTATTAAAGATCGAAATACCTGGTGTCCAATTTGTCGAAATAAATATGAAAATTTATGTCATGAAATTGTTTCTAAATATCTTGGACCGCCATCTAAGATACGTTGTCCTAATTTCTTAAAAACACCAGAACATTCCACAGGTTTAGAACTTGATATATTTTATCCTGAATATGGTTTTGCAATTGAAGTACAAGGAGTGCAACATGAAAAATATATCGAATTCTTTCATAATGGTGATCCCAATAATTTTATTAAACAGCAAGCACGGGATCAACTCAAGAAAGAATTGTGCGAAGAAAACTGGATTGCTTTAAGATATGTCTGGTATTATGAAGATCCATATATAGCTGTTCCAGAACATCTTCGAGAATTGGGTCTTATTAAGTAAATCTAAAACTTTAAATGCTCCATGATTAAGCAATAAAATCTCATGTGCACACATTGTTAAATATGTTTTCTATTTTATTTTTCTGACACACACCCACATACACGCATATGCACAGTAAAGATAAGCCTAATATGGGCATTGATAAATACAAAAAAAAATAATAAGAACATGAAACAAGTTCAAAGTATTATAGATTGCAGTGCAGTGTCAACAAATAGGATTATTATAAAAACTTTAACACACATTACATATTCATTATCTTGGCTGACATTTCAAAACTACTCGCTGAATTTCGTAAAGATCAATGGTGAAATTACCATCAAGAATTGCAGGACGAGGATAAGAAACCAGTGGAACATATCCAATAGCTGGAATAGGTGGGTCATAAAACACATCGCTTATCGGAATGTTGATCTGATATGCTGGATTACCCGGAGCATTACATCCAGTAGGTTGACTACTACCTTTTTGCACTGTCCCAAAATGCCACTATTTTTTAGACATATACATGTAAATATCGAAAAGATAAAATAAACAGAATCTCTAAACAGTTTAACATTACTTTTCTGGTTGGTAACCCCTGTCTCCATAATTTAGCCTAATTTTAAAAAGTTTTTTAGAATATCAACTACGAAACTACAATAAAATAGTCAACAGATACATACCTTCATTGATCGATTAAATCGTCCATGTGTATTTCGTGTAGTTTGCAAATCATAAAGTTTTATTCCTAATACACATCTCACGTACTGCTGACTCATCCAAAGTTCACACTTATTTTTCAATCCACGGTAACTTTGACTAACTGCAACCTCGCATATAATTCTAGCATGAGAATTCCCCTACAAAAGTATATGTATTAGAAAATTGCATACAAAACAAATAATGATAATATACACCAAATTCAATGTACCATTGTGTCGCTTGGGGGAGGTCCAAGATTGAGAGGTCCAGAATTGGGAGGTCTTAGAACGTATGCCTCATCTGGAAGTACTGCAATATCTGGTGCAATCCTAAGTCCATCTGCATTTGGTGAAGGATGAACTATAAAAAGGATGTAAGATATTAGAAAATCCATAAAAAGTCAAAGATCAAGCAAGCTTAAATTTTCTTACGTGGTTGACCCAAAACGATTATTGGTGGACCAGCAATTTCATTGCCATTGGGAACATTTAAATACCTTTGCAATAGTGCAACAACGGCTTCATGTACTTGCGTGCACATCTCAATAATAAAAACGTTGCCGTTATTATATTCAAGCTTGTACCCAGATAGTTCACGGCTTTCAAGAAATTTGTTGTAGTTTTTTATCGATATATTGGAACCAATCTTAAAAGGTAAACTGCAATTCACATCATTAACATTATTTACATTGTTTCCATTATCTTGATTATTACCAGTGGTGACTGTTTCACTGGTATTCTCATTCCTTGTATTATCTTGATTATTGGTGGACCAGCAATTTCATTGCCATTGGGAACATTTAAATACCTTTGCAATAGTGCAACAACGGCTTCATGTACTTGCGTGCACATCTCAATAATAAAAACGTTGCCGTTATTATATTCAAGCTTGTACCCAGATAGTTCACGGCTTTCAAGAAATTTGTTGTAGTTTTTTATCGATATATTGGAACCAATCTTAAAAGGTAAACTGCAATTCATGTGAGCTAACACTAAGTGGAACTTAAAGTAAAGGATCACAGTTCTATGATAAAATCATATGTTACCTATTCTCCTCTATAGCTTCCTTTGGAAATTTTGGAAATCGGAATTGTTCTTGGAGCATCTTAGTTAAATCACGAAACATTTTGAAAAAAGTTTGAGTAAAAAATATGACGTAGTTTTGTAGAAATAAGTCTCGAATTATTACATCATTTATAGGTATCACAAGTCACGAGATATTTGAAAAGTAAACCGGCACGGGATCAAGGAAATCGTGGTTTAGCACGTGAAAAAAGTAAATGAACATCCATAGATTTATACCG